GAGGTGATTCTTCAGAGTAGTTAAAGACTGAAAAGATCATATAGCTGGTACATAATAATTGTTCAATACATTTTTTTATTAAATAAGCAAATGAATGCTTTGTTAAACCACATCTCAACTAGAACTAGAGTTTAAATCTCTAAGGTCTAAGACCTAGGTTACCTGACATGAATGGTAATCTTACTCAGTAAGTTCAAACACACACATATTTGATAGTTACCAAGAGTGTTAGAGGCCATATTTTTAAATTTTATAGAATGAATGTACTTCAATGAGATTGGTTGCAAAATGAGTTATTTCAGAACATATCTTATTGTCATTGGGGATGATACTTTTCTCATACACTGCAAATTGAAAGGGAAAAATAGTATTTGAAAAGTGATCAGCCTGAGGCATGTTAGCTACCATGGTCCATGTTGGACCCTCAGGTTTCTTGTCTCATAACTTGGTTTCCTTTTTGGTATTCCCTGCAATTTTGCAAACAGTATTACTAATAAGGGCTACTATTTCTGAGCATTTAGAGCTTATCATCTTGTGATAAGGCAGACACTAATTTCATTTTTGCTTTGTACCTAATGTTCACTGTGATTATGTCACTCACAAGGCTGGTATCTTAGCTCCAGCCCACGTGGCTTCAAAACTCAGTCTTGTAAAGGATAGAAGCCTCAAGTTAGTCTCAAAATAAAATCTAAAAATCCCTTAAGTTTGGGGCTCAAGATGTATAGATTAAGAGTTGCCTACTTTTAAAATTTCATATATTTGAAAATTGTGTTAGAAAAATGTTAAAGGACACACTGGTGGAAGGTGAGGTTCCCTGCCTCAGATAGAGAACCTGCACCAAGAGGCTGTGAAGCCACAGACTGAGACATTTATAAAACATAATAGACACAAAACTTCTACAGATGAAGACAGCAACAATGAGGAAGAGAGGTTCCTGGTGAGTTTTACCTCAAGTGAGAAAATAGATTCCATTTTCTTCTGACCATTTCTGAAGTCACTCCTCAGAGAGTAAGAAAAACTACTCCATTGTAGACCTTGTAAGCGCCTCCGAGATTCCCCCTAGCAGGAGGTATTTCTGCCTAGAGTTTACCTGCTTCCACCATCACCCTCAGAGCTTCTGGAAACTAGTAATGGATGTGAAGTATAACATGTGCAAAGGGTAAATTTATTTGCCCATTTCCCAAAACTTCAAACTAGAAAACAGTAACTAGGAGATCAAGTATCTCTTGTGGGGTGAATTTCACTTTTCTGCTCAGTAATCTGTAAAATGTCCTCTTCCCACAATTCTCACTCTTCATTTCTTGTTGGAATGTGTAACAGCTTACCCCTATCAGGTGAAGCACTGGATTTCAGTTTTACATGCAGTCCTATAAAATGGTCCTTACAGTCTCCTCTTAACCTGCATTTGAAAACCTGACATAGTTCTTTACTGCAGTCTCCACACACCCCATTAAAGTTTCCACACTCCCATAAATGGTTGTCATATTGGGATCGCTGTTTTAATTATCATTCCCATCCGTGTCATCATGGCTGAGCCCATGACATTTCTTCTGACTTTCGTGAAAGTTTGAAACTTTACTGCGAATATAGTCTGTTGTAATTCAGAGATCACCTTAATATCCATTTTCACATTTAGGCTCACGAACAGCCCTGAGAAACAGGCAGAGAAGGGATTTTTGACTCTCATTTTATAAATAAGAAACTCAAGCCTCAGGGAGGCAGTAACCAGCCAAACTCCCCCAGTGCTAAGCTGATAAATGAAGACTTCATGCTGACGTATCTAAACTTCATTTCAAGACCTCTGCCCTTCCTCACATTGTTTGTTTATTTGAGAATGTCTCCATTTGTCTCTTTCATTATTTATTAATACAACTAAACAGGCTAGAATTTCAGGCAACAAAGCTCTGAGGACATGTTTTTGGAGGCCCAGGACTTCTCCAGGTGAATGGCCACCTGAGGTGAGGCAATCTGTCCCTTGAGGGTGCCTGACCTCTTGGTTTTGCTTATTTTGGCAGTCAACACAACTGAGTGGGAACAATTGGCAACAGAGAAACTCCTCAACAATTGATTTTTTATTATTTTTTTAAAAATTACACTTGAGCTCATAAAACTAAACAGCTAAGTGTATAGGAATATAAAAGATTCTTATAAAATACATTTTAAATATGAATGTTAGCAAGTCACAACTAAAGCAAAAAGGGAGTAACCCATGTCCATTTGAATGACACAATTAAAAATAAGGTCATTTTGCAGATTCCAACTCCTGGATAATTACCTTTACTGTAAGATTAACTTTATTATACACATTATCAAACAGGGATCAATGCTTTTCAGAGCTGACATGTGTTGAGCATCCACTATGTACCTGGCATTATATTGATCTTTGTTAAATTTTATCAATTAATATTAGAGATAGGCATCATTACTGTTTTATAGTTAGGAAACCTGAGGTTCAACAGAGTTAAGAAATTTATACAAGATTGCATTGCTTAGAAGCTGAAGCTCAGATTTGAACTGAGCTCTGTGTGGTTTCAGGTGCATGTCCTTTACAAGGTCCCATCCTGTTGATTGAGAATTAGTACAGTGATGGATCTAACCTTATATATGGGAAGGGTAAGGTTAAATTTCTCTGGCATCAGCCATAGCCATAACTTTACTTACCTTTAGGTCTGGCTTTGTGATGGCTCTATTTATTATAAACTCCTCATCTGTGATGAGAGGGTGATCAGGGGTAAGACCAAATGTGCTGCTTAATGTCGACAGGTGGATCCACACTACCTTTTTCGAAGAGTAAGTTTGGAATTCATCCTGCGGAAACAGACATCAAAACCCCAGTGATGTTAAGAGAAGCCCTCAGGCTAAAATTCAATCTGAAAAACATCGTTTTAATATAATTCTGTAAGTTTATGGAGTTAATGAATATTTTTGACAAAATGATATGCCTTTGAAAGATGGTAGGCATAGAATCAGGAGGGGAGAAAGGTTTGCCATCTTTTAAAAAAATATTTATTTATTTTTTTAGTTGTAGTTAGACACGATACCTTTATTATTTTATCTACTCATATGTGGTGTTGAGGATCGAACCCAGGACCCCGCACATGCGAGGCAGGTGCTCTACCTCTGAGTCACAACCCCACCCAGGGTTGCCATCTTATTAAGGAATCTGGAGTTGGGAAGCACATGATCAGCTAAGGGCTACTTTCCTCCATTGCCTTCCTGTCCACAGGGCTTCAGCCACATGCAGAATTTCACAGGAAGAAAAACAAGCATTCCATAGGTTTCTGTGGATCTCTGAAGGTGAGAAAACCAAATCAATTAAATCATCCCCATCTTTCTAGGCTTGTCTGAAAGTCTACCTCTTTCAGGAGGGTCTCTTGATTACAATCCCACGAGGAGGAAAGAAAAAAGTCACTATGCCAACTCCAAAAGACTTTAACCATCCCTCTCTGGTGCTCCTAATTATTTTCTGCTTATATTCTCTATAGTCCTTCCAGATCACCTTGAAAGTGGAACCATGTTTTATTGTTTTTTATCTCCCCCCTCAGTGTGGAGCCCAGAGACCAGCTTCATGAGAGTAAAATGAACAGATAAAAAAGACTGGCTGCCTGAATGAACGTGCACACAGGTAACTGTGGAGATATTAGCACAGCCAGGATCCAAGAAGGTCCCCCCACCTTTTTTATTTTTTAATTGTTGAACATTTATTTCAGCTAATTGGCGAGGGGATAGGACAGTGTTCGCATGGCCTACATGTTGGTCACAATGACAACAAAGCTTAATCCAGTCCAGGATATAGAGGTGAAAGTGTAAATCATGAAGACATGTTTAGATTTGTGTAAGTTTGTATAAAAGTGATGCTGAACAATTATATAAGCTTTAAAAAAAGTAGAGCCACCTAATGCCATTTAACTGCGACTATCACTGCTAAATGAAAGGTGCCTCTTTAAGATTTTTATACAACTTCTGATAACTAGGGGCAAAGAAAGGAAGCTGCTGTAAAGTTTGCAGCACTTCTAATTGGAGGAAAGCAATAGGGAAGCAAATAAAGTCGGCTTGAACAAGCACCCCAGAAGGAACATGCATGCTTCAAACAAGGACTTTACACCACACTGTGAAGAGAGCAATGTTTCTGTAAGAAAACTATCATGAACAACTGGTAAATTAACATTTGTGCTTCATTTTGGGGCATCAAAAACAATCCAACTGAGTAACCAAATGATTATGACCATACATATACATACAAAATCATCTCAGAGGTCAAATGTACCTTGGCCTTAAAAATTATGCACTATTATGAAGCAATCTCTGTTGCTTGTCCCATTCATTCCAAATGCTTCCATACTACTTTTAAATGACATCATTCCAATTTAATCACCTAAAATAATCTATATTCCCTTTATTTTAAGGTATGTACTGTCCAATAGGGTTCTTTGGTATAAATTTGTTTCTGTTTAAGTTTCAACAATTAAATATTCAGTCATTTGATATGTGATGTGTCAATTCCCTTTATTTTTATTATATATAATAATATGCTGCACTCATCTTTGTTTCATTGAACCAGGTTTCATATTCTAATTTAATCTTCCTTTGACAAATACAGTAATTAATATATGTATACTGCCAAATTGTTTGATAGATATTGCTTGTATACAGCTGTGTCATTTTCATATATGCACCTAATCAGTTATGATAAATAGAAATAGACCTATAAATTTAAGAAATCTAAGAAAGGTACTTTATGCATATTTCTAATCCATATTTAAGTCCCTTATCATTCAATTGACCATAGTTCCCTTTTTAAAAAAAAAAATGTATGCCTGAATTAATCAGCTTAGCAAAACAGTAATACTGACAAGACATCATCTTACACTGTTAGCTAACATGGACATGAAGGCAGTGACCATCTATAGTGTGTAAAATGCCATAAGAAGTCATCAACAAAGGAGGAGAGTTATGTCACTCCAATTTCTTCAAGAACACTGTGTGGGGTCTCAGTTTCCTAAAATATGGAACGCTTCATGAATTTGCATGTTATCCTTGCCCAGGGGCCATGTTAATCTTCTCTGTATCATTCCAATTTTAGTGTTTATATGCTGCTGAAGCCAGCACAAGAAGGTCCCTTCTTGTAGGACCCTAATTGAAACCATTTCCCTTTGCAGTTCACAAAGGGACTTCATCACAGACTAAAGCTAGAAGGAAAAGCACCAGATTAACAGATACCACAATGGTCCCTTGGAGAGTAATGTGATAATGACAGTAGTTATTATCTGAATGGGTAAAGGCTAAACATAAAACCCACTGGATGTCTGATAAACCTCAGGAGCTAAGCAAGATAACAAAGGAAATCAAGCCCAGGAAATCAATGCCTTGGAATGTAGATCACAGCTGGGAATTATTTTGGTGACATACTCAGGTTTTCCTTGAAGACTATTTGATCTGAGTATTAAAAGTAGGGAGGAGATAGCAAAATGGTTGTCCTAAATCTCCTCTATTCATCTTCCTCAAGAGTGGTCCTCCTCTGCATCTTTGCCCCTGCTCTTTCTTAGCTTGGAATACATTCCTTCTTTCCCTTCCTGAGTGCTGACATGGCACCCCCTGGACAGCCTTTGGGGTTCAGCCCAAAGACCTCCCTAATCTCCCTCAGCCATCCCTCCTCTACACCACTGGTATAACTTGAGATTCTTAGCAGTCTACCTTTTGTCCACATTGTCACTTGTCTTGGGCTGTAGGTAGGGACTGTGTCTGACACTTGTCTGTGCTCCAGCCAGGTCTAGCACAGATTCTAAGAGGCAGAGAGAAAGATGGCTATCAGGCCGGGAGGTAGAGATGTACAGAGAGATGGACTGGCGGGAGCAAAGCAAAGGAACGGGGGGGGGAAGAGGAGAGGAGGGAAAACTAACTAGAAATTTGAAAGTTAATGTATTAATTTATAAAAAACTAATGAAATGGGTTATGACCCTGTGTGAGAGGAAAGATGACTAAATCAAACCAAATAAAATTTGCATAGATTTATTTTCAGAGCCTAAGAGTGACTGCAGAGAGCTAACTTTGCAATAATGAGCCACTAAACTGGTAGACACTTTTAGGTATGGTAGAGTAGGCAGCCAACTCTCTAGAATGTGCTTTGACATAGTTTGTATTACATAGCTCCGCCTTTGACCCTATCAAAGGGGCTTTGCTATGAGAAGAACTTCAAGTTTCTAATGACAGCAGTAATAAATATATTTATCACTCACCATATTACAGGCACAGATTTCATTTAATGCCCAAAAGCCCTATGAGATAATTACCTCAATTATTCTTCCACTTTATAGGTGAGTAAATTAAGATGCTTGGCAAGTATTAGAGCAGGAATTTAACCATCCACCACACCCTTGCAGACCTCCTTCATAGTCACCCCCCTCCTCCATTCTAAATTTTGCTTAAAAAAAAAATTGAGTTGTCACTTTATATATTCAACCTGAACTGAGACTTCCAAAGAATAAAGTCTCAACTAAAAAAACTTGATAAGAAAGCACATAATTTGTTGGTAAATGAGAATACAAATTATAATAGATCCATAAAGACTAAAGACCTGTAGTTACCAAGTGAGGACAAATGAGAAGACAGCTACTCTTGATCCTCTTATGTGAATTAAAATACTATCAATGACTACATTTCATATGATTACTTAGAAGTTTCTGTAAACTTTTTGTATCTGCTATCTTATTTTAGACTCACAGTTCCCCAAAGCCCATATCTCTATTTTGCAGATGAGAACTCATGAGCAGAGCTAAGAATTATTGTATGACCATAAGCAGGGATAAGAATTATTTGATCCAGTCTGATATTGGTAGTTGGGTAAAACTGGGACCTGATTCAGGTCTTCCCACTCCAAATCTTGACCTCTTCCTCTTTATTTCAACAGGTTGTTCCATGGTGTTTGTGACTTGTGTGTGGGAAATCACCTTGAATTCTATACTATATAACAAAACACATTCATTTTCTCACAATTTCTGCTCTCTTGGAAGCACAGAATCTGATTCACAAAGTCAAGCTGTCACCCTCTGCAACAACCAACAGCCTTCCATACTGTATGCCTAAAAAGAGAAGAGCAAAGTTTCAGACAACTGAAACTCCCAAGTTCCCCAAGTCCAATGTTTATCCAATGCACCAAATGCAAACCTTAGTCTTGATACTTGTAAGTATCAAACACTGAAATTCTTCTATATGTCTATATTTATCAACTTGTGATATCATTAAACCAAATGTGATCGGTTATATTTGTGTTTAAGTTCATTTCCTGTTGTTCCCTTTACCTCTTGCCCAATAACTGTATAACAAAAAGTAGAATTCTACAGGCAAAGTAATAGTTACGACAGTTAAGCAATCATTTTTCTTAAGAGTAGGGTAGTGACACTAACTTCTCTCTTGTTAACTATTCTTTTGAGGACTCTTGTCAAATAGCCCAACTTATTTTTAGGAGAAAAAGAAAAGCAAAGGAATGGAAAGAAAGTGTTTCCAATATGAAATGGTCAACTGGGGTAACATCTCCAACTTCTCTCAGTTTTTGGTTTGATGTTATATACTATGGAAAGTCCACAGGCTGGAGACCTGAGCCCAGATCTCAGCTTATCACTGCCTTGCAGCTCTCTGAACCTAATCTCCTTTACCCAGGAGAGTAGTAATAATAAGGTCACATTTCATGAATGTTTGAAGTATTAAATGAAGAAATATATAATATCTTTTTAATTAAATAATTGGCTTATAATGTAAATAATTTCAATTGTTTGCCTAGCAAATCTAGACTCACTCAAGTCTCGCTGAGCAGAACGTACCTCCCCTTTATCAAAATAATTGAGATTAATTCTTCAACTCTAAAAGAATATGTCTCAAAATAATTGAAGAGTGCATTTCCAAAGTTGAATGTACACAGAGGACCTATGCTTGACCTGGGAAGACAAATAGAAGAACAAACTGGGCATTGTTTATTTTCTGTGATCTTGAACTTTCTGAACCTGGAAATGCCAGACAAAATTTTACTTTTGAATGTACTAGATTATCTTGCTTATCTTATCTCAGCCTTTTTCTAAAAGCAGTTCAACCTTTGGAATTTAAAAGCAGTATAATGGTCATTTTAAATTCAGGCCAGTCCTGCAACTTCTCTTGTATGTTTAGTAGCACACACTCATACAAGCAAAAGTTGTATTGAGTTTGCCATAAATAAAAGAAGTAGCCTAATGCAAAATTCCAAAAGGCGCTAGAAAATGAATACTTTCTCTTAGAGATGGGCACCTTGCAAAGCTAGATTGATGAACTCTCTGGTAAGGTGAAGTACTTAGCATATTAGAGATAAAGTAATGGTAACCTAAATTTCTCACTGCAGTACCTTAACACTGCACTACCTTAACAGACCTATAACTTTTGTGAAATATCATTCTTTCTATGTGAATCAATTTTTTCTCTTTTTCTTTCCCCTTTTTGGACAGATTCATTTGATGTTCTTTACACCCTGACCTAATCTATCCAATGTTGCTTAGCTGAAAAACATTGACATTGGCTAGAATGTGAGATTTAGCTAAAAGGTATATGGAGAATTCTCTAAACATTGGAGATATTGCACACAGTGTTATTATCTGAGTATTGTTAGGACATATTAACCAGAAATAAATAAATAAAAGGAGTGCTGCAAATTAGTGAAGTCATATGACATAAAAAGGTTGGATCTATGTTCTTTTCCTTAAAAAAGAAAAAGAAAACTAAGAACAACTCAGCATATGTATTTTGAGAGATTGTGGTTTGATGCTTGTTTGCTTTATAGTTGTTTTCTGAGTGGAGAGGGGGATAGTGGATTAGTTGGTTCGTTATCTGGAACATCTGGAGATGCAAAACATCTGGAGATGCAGGGTATAGTAAAAAGTTAATCGATGCCGATGGAGTGAATGCATGCATACCAGGCAGTTCTCATCTCATCACTTCACACATATCACCACATATCCTCCAAAGAGGTAGACCCTATTGACAGCCCCATTTAATGGAAGAGTAAATGGAGGCAGAGAGGGGTAGGTAATTGCCTATTATAGTCTGGGTTGTCACCTGCAAATTCATATGTTGAAGTCTTAACCTCATATCTATTTGGATATAAGTTCTTTAATGAGGTAATTAAGGCTAAATGAGGCCATGAGGTAGTACATTAATCCAGTAAAATTGATATCCACATATAATGAAGATGATATTCCAGGAGTGTAAGAGTTCAGAGGAAAGGCCATGTGAGGTCACAGAGAGAAGGTGGTCATCTGCAAACAAGGAAGACCATCCTCACCAGAAACTAACCCTGTTGACACCTGGATCTTGGACTTCCAGCTTCCAGAACTATGAAAACATAAAATTCAGCTATGGGAGCACTAGCAAACAAATACATTGCCCGTGGTTGGGCATGAGCAGAGCTAGGAATCATATCTAGGCACCCGGATTCCAGCCTCTATGCTGAAGGCACTTCTCAGTATTGCCTTTGTGGCATCTGGACATTACACAGAGACTCACAAGATCTTTAGTTCAACTCTCCATCAATGCTTAGCAATTTTACTCCTGTTTCTTATAGTTCTGGCATCACGAGCATTTCATTTAACTCTTCTGTGTCTCCAGTAGTAACCTAGAGGGAAAATAGCCTCTATAGGAGAGGACCAAATGAGACATGTATGTAAATACTTTTCAAACTATTACATCACAATATCAATGGCCCTGTGTTATGAAGAATAATAGCATCAGAACTACTTATCTTAACATAGAGTCATTTGTCCATGGCCAGTTCTGAGAACCTCAGGATTTCTGGTTTCATGTTTAATAAAAAGCCAGGGAGAAGTGGGGGTGGAAGGGATGGGCTTCTGGAGAGGGAGTGTGCACCTAAAAGATACATAATACCTTGTTCTCTTTCTTTCTCAATTATGGCATTTCACTTTAGTATCTTTGAAATAAAGCAGTAATAGAAACTGTAAGACTATTACAGATTCCATTGAATTCAATTTATTTAATTGAATGAAATAAATATGGAGCACCTGCCATGGCTCAGTGCTAACTCCAAGAGAGGATAAAAAGTAAGCCACTCATCTTTCTTCAAAAAGCCTATAA